ATACCAGGAGTAATCAATGAATCATAGATACCATTGAACATCTAAAAATATAAAGAGAATGGATTAATTAAATGGTTCATTGGCCTCCATTTTAGTTGTGAATTCTTTATTGAATCTCAATATACTGTTTCAAGACTTGTTTCTCACTATTAAAACTTTCTAACAATTGCCGTCACACTAGTAGGATCATATTTATAACACTTATGTGAAACATAATAACCTCAATAATAACAAATAAGTTGACTACAGAATCAGTCATAGCATTAATAGTAATAATCATAACAGCAATGATTGTAGTATTAGTCAAAATAGCATCCATTTAACAGCTTTTAAAATTTGCCAATTTAGTACAAAAATAACAGAAGTAGAATATTTTGCTCCATTAAAATCCATATGAGTCATGTAACATGATTTACTATTCTCTTTTACTTTGAAACTATGAAACAAAAGACTGTCTTTTTGTCAGATCACAATAATTTACAGAATGCATTTACAGATAATGTATTCCAAGCCTTAATCTTAAACTTTAGGTCTCTGGAGATGACTGCTTTTGTGAAGTAAAATATTAGTTCTAACATTACAGGTGACTCTGATTGATGAACAATAGTATGTTTGAATGTCATGGTTGTGTTATCATATCCTGCTATGACAACAACTAACCTGACTTAAATGAATTTTACAGTAAAAGATGAAGTAATAACTATTAAATAATGCAGAGTATTAAAGATTGAAATGAATGCCATAGCTGCAGCAGTCAGTAAATAGCTAAAGTAGTAGTAGTAGTAATAACACTGTACAGATGGAAAATTGATTAGGCCACAAATCAGAAGATATATTTCCATGAGCAGAAATTGAGAAGTCAATATATTTATGTGCAGCTGATGTTATTGTTTTTTAAGAATCAAGGAGAAATGCACTTTTTAAGAAAAGTGTTGAAACAAAAAATGGCTAGTCAAATGAAGTAAAATTTATTCAAGACAGATATGGCAACACAGAATTCAGAAAGGAAAGGCATTGGAGCCACCAAAAGAAAAAAAGAAAAGAAAAAGGACCGCTTTTAACACTGCTATTATTGTATACTTCTTTGACTATGTTTATTGTTTTAGCAGATCACAACAGCTATAAAGGAGATGTGATTAAATATAATTTAATGTTTAAAAAAATTTATTCAGTATTATTATTGTTTAGGTAATAAGCATTATAACATAGCACAAAAAGCTATATTGTGGAAAAAGGAATTTTCAACAGTATACACATTTTTTATGTATTTATGGTTATTTTTTAACTTTTATTAAAAACGACAAAAGAAAAAAAGAAAAGAAAAAGGACAGTTTTCTTTTAACACTGCTATTATTGTATACTTCTTTGACTATGTTTATTGTTTTAGCAGATCACAACAGCTATAAAGGAGATGTGATTAAATATAATTTAATGTTTAAAAAAATTTATTCAGTATTATTATTGTTTAGGTAATAGCACAAAAAGCTATATTGTGGAAAAAGGAATTTTCAACAGTATACACATTTTTTATGTATTTATGGTTATTTTTTAACTTTTATTAAAAACAACATTCTTGTACATGTAGTTATGAATATTATACATTAATTACTAATTTTTTAATTAATAACTATTTGTGCTCAGTTGTTGACATTAATAGCTATCTGCTGATGTGTTAAAATTTTGGAATAATGCAGTAATAAAAATTTAAATTTCACCTCTCTGATAAATGTTGCGATCTGAAAAACATTATATTTAGAATTTTAAGAACAAAAATGTTACATTCTATTTAGCTGTTAGATCATTTATTTACCAAATTAATTTTATATTAATACCTACACTACAAGCAAAATGTTTTGGTCTACCCTGGATTTCTTAAAATGACATAAAAAGATAAAATTGTCAGTAACTACAGTATATTTGCTTTTATTTTTCAATATTTCTCCAGGCTCTTCTTACTAGCAAAATGTTTAAAGTAGTAACAAGAGGAAAGTGTAGATGAGTAGAAAGCCAATTGAAAGACTGAATGATGAATGTGTGGTTCGAACGGTTAAGCATGATGGTGGATTTCTTATTGTGCGGGGGTGTTTTAGAGGACTGAGGGTTGGACACTTGATTCAGGTCAAAGGGAATCATGAAAAAAAGAACACTAAAAAAAAAGAACATGCTATACTATCTGGTTTATGGATAACTGGAAAAAATTCACCTTTCAACAAGACAATGATCCAAAACACTCTCCTAAATTATGTCAAAAAGTGAAAAGAAAGCAAAAAAAAGTGGGAAATTATGACTTGGCTGCCTCAAACATCTCTCCTATTGACTTAGTATGGGATGAATTGGATAGGAGAGTTCAAAGAGAATACCGAAAGAGTGAGAGTGAGCTTTTTCAGTGCTTGAAGAATGCTTGGGAAGGTCTGCCATCTACATTTTTTCAAAAACTGTTGGAAAGAATGCTAAGAATTTGTAAAGCTGTAATGGTGGTTTATTGAAGCTGTTGTTTGATAATCTTTTTATAGTTAAGTGCTTATTTCTTGTCAAAATTAAAAGCAAATTCACTGCAGTTACTGAAATTTTATCTTTTAATTTAAAAAAAAAAAATACAAAAATATCACATTTTAAACTTTTTGCCTGTAGTGTATGTCATCAGCATAGCCTTGCTCATCATCTGCACATTGGCATCAGAAGGGAAATCAGGATTGTTGTCTTCTATTGTTAGACTTATTTAGGATATGGTATGGAATGCTTAGATGAGCAGTGCCCATATCTTCATATCTGTGCTTGTTTATACATAGAGCATAGTCCAAGAAGAGACATATTAAGGCTCTCATTTCCTCTTTGTCATACTTCTGATGAGGTTTGGAATGTCTTGAGATTCGGCGCCTCGCTAGACATGTATGACTGTGGACTAATATAGCTCTTCAGTTAGATCTAGGTCAGGTATGTTTAAAGTCCATTCTGAGGGCCAATTACAGCCCATGGTCAAATTTCATATGGCTACCATCCTCTGTCATAGAATGTATCACTTATGGCCTCTCAGTATTGTTAATCAGAATAAGTAAAGTACACACTTAAGAAATGCAATTTTAAGTTTTACCAAAAGATGGCAGAAGCACTGTGTGGCTACCCTCTGGTGGTGTAACACTGACTTTGGCCTTTTCCAACCAATTCTTAAAATCACTGCCTTTGAACCAGACCTGGCCTACATTCTGCAGTCCAGATTTCAGTATCACCCTTAACATTAATATAGGCAAGTTTTTGCTTTGGTCATCTGAGATGAATAAATTCTAAAATCTTACTGAATTTGTTTTGTGTTATAAATCTATTTGGACTTCTGTCACTTTATTTTCTATTTCTTAATAAGATGAATGTTAGTATTATGTTTCTATTCATATGTTTTTAACTTAAATGTTGACAGACAACATTAATTACCAATAATATGTTAAGTTTAAGATTAACCTGAGATATATTGGTGCTACTATAGAATGAGGTCTACCTCAATATGTAATCTATCCAGGTGCAGCATAGAGAACTACCTCAATATGTAATCTACCCAGGTGCAGCATGGAGGTCTATCTCAATATATAATATATCCAGGTGCAGCATGAAGGTCTACTGTGGCCATCAGGTCTGGTCTAACATGGATATATCTGTTTCACATTTTCAAATGAAGGTCCTAAATCAGAATCATCCTTGGCCTGAAAAAGTTAACAAATATTTCAGAACTTCAGGATACTTCAAAATGTTGCTGAAGGAGTTTTATAGAAGAGTCATCCTGACAGAGGAAACAGCAGTCATCTTTTTAAGAGAACACAATCTACTAGATGCAGTTCAACAAGCAGATCCATGCCATAAAATATTCCAATGATCTATTCCTGTCATTCCTAGAAGATATACAAAGTGTTTATTGCTAAAATAAATGTATTGTATTTGATAACATGTTTATTTTTACTTCTCTGCCTTTAATATAAATAGTATATCGATGTATAAATGATAATACGAGGTTTAAATAAATATCTATACACATACAATATTATATTATAGTTTGATTCTGTGGTAAATCTCATGCTATAAACAAAATAGGTGGTAGACCTCACACTATAGTAGCACCAATATATTATAGCTTCCTGTAAGTTCTTTTTTCTCAGGTATATTTTTACTTCATCTTATATGGGCTTCAGATGTGACATGCTGAGTGATTTTGGTAAGACCTGTTTAAATTTATTTGTTATCCATTTGAAGAAATGAAAATATGCCATTTGCAATAAAATTTTCATAAGATAATTCATTTGTATTTAATTTTAATGGTTCAAAGAATACCAAACAGAATAGTTGGCCCTCACCGAGTCACCGAGTCAAATCTGACCCTCTTTGAAAAAAACACCCTTGTTCGAGGCATTCAGTGGATACAACACTTGGAAAGTAGTTTCTAATGGATGAGAAAAAGACATCTGTACTTGTGTAGCCATCTGCTTTTGAGTTCAACTTGCCAAAAAGAGAAAGAACAGTGTTGGAATAAACTGTCCTCTAATGGATAGCAGTTCGAATTGAGGATTAAGGAATTGGAGAGCCGAGTTTGAATTCCAGTTGAATCCATTACATTCACTTACATTCTAATACCCTTGGGAAAGGTATGAATCCTTTTCTTCTCCCTCCAGCAGGAAAGACTGGGTTCTATAGCCTTAGATGGCAACTGGTCTACCCCAGAAAGAAATGGCAACCTACTGCAGGAAAAAATCTACCTAGTCAGTCATGTACTGAAAGATACATGGTTGCCTAAGTGTGTATCACACATGTCACATGACTTTGTTAATTTTATATCACTCTCTTTCAGAATTTAACATAAAACATTCTATACCTCTCATCTTCAACATGAAAAAAGAATAGATGTGTTACTTTTTTTGCATGAGTTCAAGGCTTGGTTATAATGCTTCTCAAACTGCTGCCAACATTAACAGAGCATGGGATGAAGGATCTACCTGTGACACACCTGATATTCTACTTAAAGCAGCACCTGATATTCCCAAGTATTCACCCATCTTAGTACTTACCAGATTTGACATTGCTTAACTTCAGTGATCATGTGAAAAACTGGTGTTTCAACCTGATATAGGCCACAAGGTGGTACACAATGATGTCTAGAAGATAGATATAACCAATGAAATGGCAGAGCCTTTTTTTTTTTGTCTTGTTAATTCACTCAAATACAACACATTAAATGTTTTATTTGAAAGTACTTTTGGCCTTCTGTAACAGAGTTCCATTAGTCAAAATTTCCATGTATCCACCCTGTCGCAATAAATAGTCCCTTTTTGTATATGCAGCATCAACAATTGAGCTGTTGACATGGCAACAAAAGTTATGGCTGCCTGCTAAGGCGGGGTTCAAAATGCATCAAGAAAACTAGGACAGATTTCTAGCCAGCTTCTTAAAAGATGTATCAACACACAAAGTTGCTATGCATTTATTATTTAGTAAATACACTGACAAGCACAAAGGCAAGCATTTCGACATAACTGTTCTTAAAGAAAATTGAAGAATAGTTGATAACTTGAGAGTTTAAGCACTGGACAAGAAAACAAAAGAATAAAATCAACAGCTGATAAGTCATTTGTTAACTATAATGTATTAGTAAAAGATAAAAATGGCAGAAATAATTATAAATGTGTACTTAGAAATATTCTGCAGTTCATGAATTGTATATGCATATGAGATGGTGCTGAAAATTTCTCAGCCTCACCCACTTCTCAATTGACCATATACAGGAATGAGCTCATGTTGCGGCGGCCATATTCAATGTCATGATGCCATTAAAAGTCAAGCCACGTCTACGGCAATTTTTACCTTCAACTTCAAAACATTTTTTTTTAAATTAAGAACAAAAAATGTTACATTTTTTTTTGGGGGGGGGGGGTAATTCCCAAGAAAAAAATTGACTAGAGCCCTATGTAGATATATTTTCAAAGAAAAGACATAGATGAAATTAAATGTTACAAGTTTATTTTAATGTTGCAATATTTATGCCTACCGGAAATGAAATGAACATCATATATACACATATTGACAGAATACATTTCATTTTAAAACAGCAATACTTAAATAGACTGGTCCCCACAAAAAAAAAAAAAAAAAGAACACTACATGTCAAAAAGATCAGTTTGACGTTGTATTTATATACAGTTTATATTATATATTTTATAAACAGTACTCCCATCTAAAATAGAAAATAAATGTTTTTCGATTCTGACAAATTGTCTAAGTAGAGGAAGTCTTTCTGAATGCTAGGCAATAAAAATTAGTTGTGAAAATATTTTTATAAGAAATTACTAATTAATATTCATGTCCGAAAGTAAAGGATCAATTTGACATTTTTACTGTACATATTTTTTTTTGTTTCAATAGTTATTTTGATTTTATGCTGAAAAAGCTTTATATTTTTATACATTGTATAATATACAGTAATACAACAATCTCGTTCTTTCCACAACACACACATTCTAAGCTAATAATGTTGTAAGGCTTGATTTCTTTTTTGAAAATGTCCCACTGCAATGTATCATTGCTAATAATTCTAGTCATCATAATCTGTTATTTGTCAATTAATAAAATATTTGATTTTAAAGTTTTTTTCTTTATTTTTAAAGATTTTACATTAATATTATTTTTAAAAGCAAAAAACAAATTTTGCAAATTCTATAAAAATTGTTGCAGTGTCCTCATTTTTAAGGGGTCCACCAAGGCAATTTTTGCCTGCCCCTGTCTTAGGCTAAAAAAAACTCATCCCTATATATATATATATATATATATATATATATATATATACACACACACAGAGTGTAGAAACAATATACAGGGTGTGATGTGTAAATTGTTACCATTTTATATTTTTAATTTTGCAAATGCACATTGTTTGCTTTTGATTTTGTCAGCTGTACAATATAGTAGGGTCAGTTGGGCACCATCTGTGAGAAAAATTAATTCTTCCAGGAATTGGAAACAATGTGCTGTACTGCTTGGCATTCATGCCAGCAACTCCAATACAAGCATTTCAGAGTGTTTGAGTGTCAACCTGAGGATAGTGAAGAGGATTTTGATAGAGTTGGACGAGTCTAATGGTGATTACAAAGGTACAGCAGATTGGAAAACTCACTCAGTACATTCCAATAAGAAATGAACTCCCGAATATGTTGGTGAGGGCCTCAAACTCAACATGGAAGCCTACATCAAGTACTTTGAAGATCCTATGTCTGGCAACAGGACTCTGCACCATGAAACACTAACAGGTAAACCCAGTTATAGTTGTCAGATAATTTCTGCGACCACATCACCTCTTACATCTGGCTGCTTAACTCCCCAGACTGCAACCCCCTTGTTTATTATGTGTGGTATGCAGTTGAGCGAGAGACTATCAAAATGCCTTGTAACACCAAAAATGAACTGAAGGAAAGAATCAAGGCATCATTCACAAACTTAAACAAGGAGACCGTCCAGAAGAGTTACAAGAGATACTGAAGTTGTCTGGGGGCTGCGGTTGAAGTCAATAGCGATTTTATTGCATGAATTTACTCTTTAATATTTCAAGATATTTTGTGTAATTTTGGTAAATATATTTGTTAAAATGAGATGTCATTGCAATTTTCATTTTTGTGTAATTTAGACGACAATTTATCCATCGCATCCTCTGTGTGTGTGTGTGTGTGTGTGTATATATACATACATACACACACCCTCAGTGTGTATATACATACACACTCAGTGTGTATATACATACACACACTCACACTTATTAGTATAAAATAGGTGGAAAAGTTTAGAGTTGTATAAGAAATTGTGTTCAGTGACATGGTCAAAGTTTTAAGAATAAAATATAACTTTAGAATGCATAATGTCTTTCAACTCAGATGAAGCAGTTGACACATTTTAATGGAATATTTCATTGTTTTTATATATCTCTAGAGATTACTGGCGGCTCTGCAAGAGTGTGCTGAACAACAGCAAATAATCAACCCCTCCATTATTCAATCAATTCAAAGTTCTGACATCTACAGCAGCTAAATTTGAATACCTTGCTCAGAAATTCTCTTCCAACTCAACACTAGACTGATCTGAAGTACCCACACCTGATTTCCCCTACCCTAGAACTATGGCTCTACTGAGTCATATGCACATAACCCCTAGTCTCGGACATCATTTCTAAATTAGACTCCCATAAGGCAAGTGGAGGTGAGAGGATCCGAGCTGTCGTCATAAAAAAAATGTGCTCCCAAGCTGGCTCCACTTGTCTCTACACTCTACAACTTCTGCCTCAATGCTTCCTAGCTTGCTGGAAGTCCTCCTCTGTAGTTCTTGTTTTTTAAGAACTCTGGAGAACTTTCTGACCCCTCTATCACCCTATTAGTCTCCTTTTCGGCAAAGTATTCGAAGCTTTAATCAATGCTGTAGTAGTTAAGCATCTTACCCCTCACAATCTACTCTCTGACAAACAATATGTCTGGTTGACCTCTGACATGCTTACAGCCATCACTGAATATGTATATCAAGCTCTTGATAATAACAGCAAAACTCAAGCTGTGGCTTTAAATATCTCAAAGCTGTTCGACAGGTATTGACATACTGGTCTTCTATATAAGCTTAAGGTTTATGGTATTACAGAACGATTGTTTGATTTAATCCAATTATTCCTGTCAAATCATAAAATGAAGGCCGTCCTGAACGGGCTTGTTTCCAGATACTTTCACATGAATGCAAATGTCCCCCAAGGCTCTATCCTGGGTCCAACTCTGTTACTGATCTTCAATGATCTTCCCAATGTCTTCAGTTCCCAAGGAGGTATTTATGAAGATGACACTACCATTTATTCCTGTCTCACTACCAAATTTGTCAGAGCTGAAAAAGTTAACCTGGCCGCTGCTCTTAAAAAGGACCTCCAATCAGTGGTTAACTGGGGCAAGAAATGGCTTGTAAATTTGAATGCCTCCAAAACTAAACTGCTCTCATTTAACCACCATAGAGAAACTTCCCTGTCTGCAATCTACATGGCTGATGCTCAACTCCTGAAGAGCATCTCATTATGCCTTCTTGGTTTCATGTTTTCAACGGACTTGAAGTGGAACAACTACATTGAATCAATAGCTGCTTCTACTACACTAAAAGCTGGTTCATTGTGCCGTGCCAGAAGGTTTTCTTGTCAAGAGTTCATCTTGCACATTTATAAATCTACCATTCAGCCATGTATTGAATACTGTTGCCATATCTTATCTGGTGCTCCTGCTATTTTTCCCAAGGTTCTTAACAAAATCCAAAGAAAGATCTGCAATGTAATCGATCTTGACTTGGCATCTTCATTTCAGTCACTTTCTCACAGACATGATGTCACTTCCCTCTGTCGTTTCTACAAATATCTTCATCCCAATTGCTCTGACAACCTTTTTTGCCTGGTGACCGAACTACATGAATTTAAGTGTGCTACTAGATTGGCAGCTAGGTCCCATCCTTTGACTGTTGAAATAGCTAAATGCAACTGCCTCTTCTTCTACAAAGATTTATTTTCTCACACTTCTCACCTGTGGAACTCCTTTCCATTTACTTGCTTCCATGATAACTACAATCTTAAAAAAAATTAATTGCAGCATCAATCGCCATCTTCTGTCTTCTTGAACCTCGTTCATCTTTTGTACTTTCCTCAATCTCCTCTATACCAAGTCTTTTCCCTCAACTTTCACTCTATGTAATCCCCTATGTACTGGTGGCATTCCTGCCTTGCATAGGATAAAAAAAAATACATAAGTACTGTAAGGTAGGCTATAGATATATAGCCTGAAGATTGCATTCAAGCATGTAACACTGTTGCCAAAACAAAAATATAATATTAATATATTACTTTACTTTGTATTTAGCACTTTTTAAAAGTAAATTCTACAAACAGTGGATTTTTATTCCATCTGTTCTTTCTGTAATTTGTGTATATATATATATATATATATATATATATATATATATATATATATATAGGATTTTTACTCCATCTGTTCTTTTCTCTCATTTGTTTGTTTATATATATATATATATTGGATTTTTACTTCATCTGTTCTCTCATTTGTGTGTGTGTGTATATT